TAATAAAACAGCCAGCCAGAGTCCCTTTAAGAGGCTCTTTAATGGAAAGTTGCTGGGTCTGGCTTTTTTTCAGCTTTTATTTTCTACATTTTTTTTCCAGTGCTGTGTATGCTGTCTCAGCCCCACTATCTCCCCTGCCACTGACAAACTGCACTCTAGTAAGGCATCTCCACCAAGAAAGTCTATAAATATAGTATCTATTATTATAAGCAAAACCAGAGATTCCTAAAACTGATAGGACCTAGAATTAATTTTTCCTTTGTGCACTTCTTTCACTTCATCTGGGATGAGGCTCGCCATTTGCCCGGATAGTCTATTGAGCTCTGAGCCTGCAAGAGGCTATCTACGGGTAGATATTTACACCCACCCAGAATCCCAGCAAGTCCCTGGGCAGACACCCCAAATCAGCTCACTGAGCTAAACATGCTGTTGACAACACACACTTTGGGTTTGTAGCTCTCCCTCAGCAATGTATGAACAGAGAATAACAAAGAGTAAGCCTGACACAAGACTTTCTACATTGAATTGCCATCTTCAAATTGAAGATGGGAAACACTCACCAGGTATATGAAAGCCATGTTTGAATCGGGAACTTGAGGTTCCTCATTTCTAACCCTGATTCTGCCACAGATTTGTTGTGTGGCCCCAGGCACACCACTGCACCTCACTTTACCCCTCTGTGATACAGGTCTGTGGAGACCAACAAGTGATTACTGCTCTATTCCTCGGCTAGGCACAGCCCGGAGGGCTGATCTGAGTTCCTGGGAACTGGGTGCAATGTTCTGAAAACTGCTCTCACTTTTCACCTCACCTGAGGATCAACCAGAGCTACACCTTTGCAGGCTACAAGAAAAGATTTACACCTGCCATTTCTTCCTTTGCACGCTCTTTCCACAGGACTTTTCAGAAATGCAGGTTCCTGAGGCAGCTTTGTCACAGCAAATACACACTGGTGCATCAACATGAGCCAAGAGCTGGCCTGGGAATGCAAAAGCACTGCATCGTTTCTTTTTAGCAAGGAGAGTAACAGGAGCGGGTTCTTCTCTGACAGCAGCAGGACTTGAGAGAGGAGAAGTAACAGGTCTCAGTCACCCTCCCAGCACTACAACGAAAACACAACTGTGGAAGAAAGGTGGGTGGGAACAGCTTGCTGGAGGAAGGCCAGGAGCCAGACACTCACTTTCCCTCCTCCAGCTGGAGAAGGAATTGAAAAGACATGGAAACAAGTCTCAGTCTATTAAGTTTATTGAAGGAAATTAAAAAGACAACTTGATCACAGTACACATAAATACTGAAGCAAGGAGAAAATATCTAACAGCATGGCTTAACTGGGAGTTGAAAGCATAAGCAGGCTCAGGGAACAGAAGATGAAACTCAAAAAATGAGTATAGAAATAAAGCAGATTTTGAACCATAAGGGCAATTATCTATTAGAAAAAACTAACCAGTTTCAAATATACTGTCTGCCTTTCTAAAATACAGACAAAGCCACATCTCACTGGACTCTGCCACGGCCTGTATTATAGCAGGTCAGACTAAATGATCAAAGCCACCTCTTCCCGCCTTAAAATAGATGAGGCTGTGATTTTTTTCCAAGCCTAACTCTCAAATTCTGCCCGGGTATTTGCTGGGCTCCCAAGGTCCCAGAGTGAGCACAGGCCTGGCCCACACACACTTGCCTCCCACCCCAGAGCATCCCTCCCCAGGGTCCCAAGCCAGAGGGGGGTTAGCCAACAGCACCCAGCCCCAAGCACACTCTTCTGGGAAATCTTATGCAGCTTTAGAGCAGATCCTCCAGCATAACATCACCACAGCTCATCAGCAAAGGCCTCGTTCAGCTCCCACTATGCTTTTTTTGTGCTCTGTTCTCTCCTGGCTCTCCACCAGCACCTGCTCTGGCCTCACTTCCTCCAAATTTTATGCATACTCTGTTCCCAAATCATTCAACCTCCTTGCTCCTCTTGCCCCTACCCTGCCTCTCCCACAAACCCCACTCTTGCTCCTGGCTGCTTCCTCCCCACACCCTGCCTCAAATGGCCCTCCCCAAGCCCTCACCCATTCCTAGCTCTCACCGTTTCCAGGAGGATCTCCGGAGTCCGATGTCCCTCCTGCTCTTGTCTCAAGGGGTGCTTTCATCTTCCTCTTGACTCCTGAAGGGCCCCTGTGGCCTCTGAGGGGCTGAGCTCCACTGCACAGCCCAGCTCTACTTCTCATTCTTCCCTGCTGGGACACGGAAGTGCTCTGCCCACCCAGGATGATCAGAGCAGCTCTTGGAGGCACACTATGGCTCTGTGAGCCTTCCTGGAGACAGCCCAGGATTGCTGGTGCAGCACACAGCTGCTAGAGGAGCAATAGGCTTGGCATGACTCCTGCACAGAGCACTCAGTAGCTAGTCCTAACTACTGCTTAGTTATCCACTCTTAATGCTCCATGTGGCCAGCAATGCCACCTCGCCCATGCTACATATCACACACCATACCTCAGAGGCTGGGCAACCAGAAACATTGGATTCATAGTTCACTGTCGTGGTTTAACCCCAGCCGGCAACTAAGCACCACACAGCCGCTCGCTCACTCCCCCCCGGTGGGATGGGGGAGAGAATCAGAAGAGTAAAAGTGAGAAAACTCATGGGTTGAGATAAAGACAGTTCAGTAAGTGAAGCAAAAGCCGCGCACGCAAGCAAAGCAAAATAAGGAATTCATTCACTGCTTCCCATCAGCGGGCAGGTGTTCAGCCATCTCCAGGAAAGCAGGGCTCCATCATGCGCAACGGTTACGTGGGAAGACAAACGCCATCACTCCAAATGTTCCCCCCTTCCTTCTTCTTCCCCCAGCTTTATGTGCTGAGCATGACGTCATATGGTATGGAATACCCCTTTGGTCAGTTGGGGTCAGCTGTCCTGGCTGTGTCCCCTCCCAACTTCTTGTGCACCCCGAGCCTGCTCGCTGGTGGGGTGGGGTGAGAAGCAGAAAAGGCCTTGATGCTGTGTAAGCACTGCTCAGCAGTAACTAAAACATCCCTGCGTTATCAACACTGTTTTCAGCACAAATCCCATACTAGCTACTACGAAAAAAATTAACTACCCCAGCCAAAAAACAGCACATTCACCCACTCCTGTGCCTCAGGCCCGGGCATTTTCAGCTTTTGTGGTCATTGAAAACTGGTTGATTTGCACTGGGTAACTGCGTGGTTTTATGAGGTGACCCAAAAGTGCAAGGCCTCCTACGCTTTGCGACACTGAAGGGAGAAAGGTGGGCTCACCTCTCAGCCTCCCTTTCTTTCTCTGCTCATGTTGTTTTCCTGCCCTCCTCCTCAACAAACCGGAGGCAAGTGTAGCATCGTAGTAAGACAGTTACTTTGATGGTAGGGACATGGTGCAGAGACCAGGTTTCAGTGGGGGTACTGGTAGTCTGTTTTGGGCCGCTCCTGCAACCACCAAAGTTTGTCCTCTCATTCTCAGGGCACAGAAAGTTATGTTCGCTTCATGCTTCAAAGAGGCTAGAGTCTCACTGGAAGCAGATACCACTGAATAAGGTGATACCAGGCAAGCAGCTTATAGGAACAGTGTGGATTAGAACCTCAGATCAAGCAGAAGGGAGAGAATCCACACTAGATGGTCCTACAGTTTGCAGTTGAGAGTGCCTCTGCTTTCTCTGTGATCTTTGAGGGATGAACTGAGCAAAACCATGTCCCATCCCCTCCTCCCTTTACCATTCTCTTCCTCTCAGACTGGCTTGTTGGGTTTGTCTGATTTGCTAACCTACTGTAGTTTGCTGAATTTAATTTTTTTTCGTGGTATGTAGGAAGCATTCTAAATTTTCTTTGGCCAAGAACCATAGGTGTCACAGAAAAATAGATGCTAGCTCAGCTGGGAAGTTTTTGTCCATACCAAAACAGGTTTCTCTGCTCAGAGAAAGACTTCATGGTTATCCTCCATACACTGGCCTCCCAAGCTTCTAGTTTTCTAATTATAGGGGAGATTTCTTGGTTGTAAAAAACTTAGTGTCTCCTTGAGACACATGAGCCTCCCCTTATTTTGGTGGCCCCAGACTGGAACCCAATTGCTTCTCTCTTGTTGGTAGAATTGTTTGGCCTACCAACTATGATCTGAAATTTTGTAAAGTACTGAATTCACAGTGAGTTATTTGATCTGTCCTGCTGTCAGTACAAGAGCGGGAATGCAGTGCTCTATTAGACCGACCAAACAAGCTAAGAAAAGCAGCGCAGCAAGCCCTCCTCCCAGCACCTGCACTGCCCCCCAGAAGTACATAGCAAGATTCTCCAGCAGGACAAGGCTTTGAAGGACATTGGCTTAGAAGTAATGTTACTGTTTCCTGCAAATAATGACCACGGTTCTATGGGGACAGGGCATTAACACCTAAATGGATTTTTCGTTAGGTGGCAATAAGAATGGGTTACTTGGTTCCAAGGAGACACCCACCAGGGAGTTACCTTGTTTCAGAGCAGCAGGCTCTATTCTTTCACATGTGTGGAATAAACAGTATTTTCTTTGCAAACTACCTATTGCCTGAAGCTGTCTCCGTTCAGGCTGTGAACTCATCTTATTGCAAAAGCTAAGCGGGGTTAGGCCTGGTCAGAACCTAGCTGGGACACCTCAAGGGAAAAAAGGTGCTGTAAGAAGTAGTGCAGGGGATGGCTGGAGGCTGCTGGATGAAATGTAAAATGGGTATCCTGACAACTTGTGGCATCTGTTGTGAGGAAGATGGTAATCTTGATGCCCTAGGCAAACAAATCCTATCAGCCTAAGCTTCTCTGATAGCTATCGGTGAAAACCACACTCCATTGTAAGATAGTCCATCCCAGAGAGGCTGCATTTCAGTAGAGAAAAGATCAACTGTTGCAGTTACCTGTGAAGGTGCTAGTGAGGTGGAAGTGACTGTTCATAAGTAAATACTTTATTGTGTTTAGAATTCTTAATCTCTTTTGAGAACAAAGATTTTTATTACAAAATACCCAAAACTTCTCCTGAGCCAGTTTTCCTATGAAGCAAGGTCCTATTTATTTTCATGTCTGAAATAAATTCTCAAATACAAACAAGTGAATAGAAAATTAAATGCTAAACTATTTACAGGGGATGCGTGTATGAGATGTCTGGTGCGCCAGTGCTCTAGGGCAGACTGAGGTGGTCCTCTCTCTCAGACTGTCCCAGGTCCCACTCAGTCACTAGTTCTGAGGACACCTCTGTGAAGAGATGGTCCCAATCCCAGCTGACATCATCCTACCAAGAGGAAAAAGACAAACATGCTGAAATGTTACTGATGACACCCAAAGGTCTCTGAACGATGCCAAATACTCAAGATGAAAAGCAAAGAGAGAAACTAAATGACAACTGCCCCTGTCAGGGAAGCCCAGATTCAGTTGGCTAGAACAAGAATCCTAGCCAGAATGAAATGTGAATCCCTGCTACAATTTAAAGATTTTGACAGAATTACTCATGTTGCAAAATTCCTTAAAGGACAGATTTTTTTATATTTGTTAATCTTAGATACTCCCAGGCAGGGTGTAAAGAGGAGCCATAAAAATCTTCCACCCTCTGCACTTCTGCTGAAGCATCTGCAATTCTGAGCTGCAGAAATCCTTTGTTGGAAGTCCTGAGCTTCTGTCCCGCCAGTTGTATTGAGATTGTTCTGTCCTGCTTTAACACATCCCTCTACCCAAACCCCAAATGCTTTCTGCCTTTGTCCCTCTGTACTGCCCTGCAGAACTACCTGGAGCTGATGGTGGCTACCAAAAGACAATACACAGAGCACTGTTTCTGCAGGGATCTGTGACAGTGCTAGGCCCTTCACATTTTCCTTACTAGCTCTTTCATACTGAAGGGGGCCAATCATAGTGATGCCATAATCTCACACAGAGAAAGCCCTACATATATCTTTAAAATAATCTGCTGGGGAAATCAGACCTCCATCCTCTTGGACAAGCTCCTCTTCACAGGTTCCTCCTCATCTCTCTCTTCCACCCCACCAACAAAGGCTTATTTTCCAAGTATAGTCTGAGACACGTAAGAAGCTCTTGCCTTGTTGGTGTTCCCACAAAAGAAAGACTCACCTCTCGTAGTTCATGCTCTGGAGCCAAAACTTTGGTGAGAAGCTTCAGGTCAACCTCTCCATCCTATAAACAGACATAGTCACAGTCTTACAGACAGTGAGAAAGTGGACACCATCATTTCACTAGGTAGGTCTTGCTAGAGATAGGCACAACATTTGCCTCATAAGGAACATATACTTTGTCCAGGACAACAGCAGGAGCCTCATCTGAGCAGCAGATACCATACCCACACTATTTACAGACACAAACAAGCATGAAAGCCACACTGCAGAGAGGAACAGACTTGAAAGCAGACTGGAAGTTGTTTGGATGATAGGGCTGTGTATTTTACGCAGCTGAGTATCACTGTGGAGGATGATGGGAGCCTGGAAGGAGAGTGATTCATATCGGTCACCCCATAGCAACCTCCACTTACCAGAGTCTGAAAGGCAGCACACTTCATAAGATCTTTGTCCAGGTCATGGTAGGTCAGCACTCGGTTCACCTGCACACTGCAACCAGAAAGGGCCAAAGAACAAGCCTGGGTAAGTGTGGAAGCACATCTGAGGAGAAGGGCGGCATGAACAGGAATCTGGTGACACCCATCTCAAGTGTCCACATCACCCATGTGGACTCTTGAGATGGGTGTCCCCAAACAGAAGGATATCTCATTCAGCAAATGAACAGTCATTGACAAATCTGCATGCCAGGCTGCGCACATGCATAAAGATAGGATGTGGAGTGACCACAGACTCCTTCAGAGAAGCCAGCACGCCAGAGTGAAGATCCACAGATTAGCTGCAAGGGCCAGAAAGAAAACAGGAACGTAGTGAACAATGGAACAGCCCCAGAAGGCTCTGAGAGCCCCACCATACAAGCTACAGAATAGTAGGGACCTTATGATTTCCAGTCTGAGCTGAGTCACAGCTATCAAATACAATTCCTTAAAATGTAGCCTCCAAAGAGAAACACGGGGTAGGGGGGTAATACACTGTTGTGCCATGCTTCCCTTCGCAGGTGATGCAATACTATAGAAAAGACCTATATTAATTTAATTTCTGTTTGTGTTTGTCCATGAAAATTACTTGTCTTTTCTATTGCAGAGAGACTATGGATACAGGAGAAACAGATGGGATTATAAAAAAAATAGAGAAAACAAAGACATGAACTCTGGTGAGAGACAAAGTAATTTTAAATTTTCTACTATAAAGTGTCATTTATTTTTGTTAACAGCTATTTAATTACAATACTACTCCATAGTTGTGCAAGAGGCATCTGTGGTCAGGAGTAAGATATCCCACCCCTCCAAATAAGGGTCAATAGAAATCCCAGTCTGTGACCTTGGCAATAGGCCCAACAGGGGAGAGAAGACTTTACTGATACATTTAAGATAAAACCCCCAAAACTTTCATTTTTTAAAACTTCCTGGTCTCCCTTGAGCTAACCCCAAGTCTATTCTGATAACATCTTCAAACAACAGGATTGTACTTTGCAAATTAACTAGGCACTTGAGTAAGAAGGATATCCTCTGTGGGGGGCAAAGCAGTCTACGACCGTGCATAATCAAAGTGTGTGTGATAATACATGTGTACTGGAGGCATTTGAGGTTATACAGGCAACCTTAAATCAAGCAATTCCTAACTTTTGAGAGTTTGATTTTGCAACATCAAACATGCTACTCTAATGTAGGTTTTGAATAGAGAGAGAGAATATGCAGTAATTGCTTTCTCTGTGTAATAGGAATCAAGAAGTTTGCACTGTGCAGCTTGCAGC